TCATGGGGGATGTCCCAGGACCATTGTTGGACCTTCTGGAGCTGGGAATGGGATCATGGAGCCACCAGGTCATGGGGGTGTCAATGGCCATGGTCCCACCACCCATGAAGGATCCTTGGGGAGCTGGGAATGGGATCATGGAGCCACCAGGTCATGGAGAACATCCCACCACGTGTGCTGGAACTCTGAATGGGATCATGGAGCCACCATGTCATGGGGGACATCAAACACCAGCTCAGGTCCATCCTCATCCATGTTTGGGCCACCTCAGGACAGTCCTGGGGCCAGCAGCTCCTGGGGGACGTCAATGGCACCCATGGTGGACATCTGGGAGCTGGGGTGGGATCATGGAGCCACCAGGGCATGGGGGTGTCAATGGCCATGGTCCCACCACCCATGAAGGATCTTGGGGGCACAGAACACGACCATGGAGCCACCAGGTCATGGAGAACATCCCACCAGTGGTGTTGGAACTGTGAATGGGATCATGGAGCCACCAGGTCATGGGGGACATCCCACCACGTGTGCTGGAACTCTGGGATCATGGAGCCACCAGGTCATGGGGGTGTCAAGGGCCATGGTCCCACCACCCATGAAGGGAGCACAGAATGGGATCATGGAGCCACCAGGTCATGGAGATGTCCTGGCACCACTTTTGGACCTCTGGGAGCACAGAACATGATCATGGAGCCACCAGGTCATGGGGGATGTCCCATGACCCATCCTGGATCTCCAGGAGCAGGGAACGGGATCATGGAGCCACCAGGTCATGGGGGACATCAAACACCGGCCCACGTCCATCCCCATCCATGTTTGACCAACAGGGGCCACCACACTGCTCCCATCTCCAGGAGCACAGAGCCAAGATCTGGAGCCACCAGGGTCATGGGGACCATCAGGCACGGTCCCACCACAGCTGTTGGATCTTGGGGAACTGGGAATGGGATCATGGAGCCACCAGGCCATGGGGGACATCAAACACCGGCTCAGGTCCATCCTCATCCATGTTTGAGCCACCTCAGGACAGTCCTGGGGCCAGCAGCGCCTGGGGGACATCAATGCCACCCATGGTGGACATCTGGGAGCTGGGGTGGGATCATGGAGCCACCAGGGCATGGGGGTGTCAATGGCCATGGTCCCACCACCCATGAAGGATCCTGGGGAGCAGGGAATGGGATCATGGAGCCACCAGGTCAAGGGGGACATCCCACCACTGGTGTGGGAACTCTGAATGGGATCATGGAGCCACCAGGTCATGGGAGATGTCCCACAACTCATCCTGGACCTCCAGGAGCACAGAACATGATCATGGAGGCACCAGGTCATGGCAGACGTCAAACACCAGCCCATGTCCATCCTCATCCATGTTTGAGCCACCTCAGGACAGTCCTGGGGCCAGCAGCTCCTGGGGGACATCACTGGCACCCATGGTGGACATCTGGGAACTGGGGTGGGATCATGGAGCCACCAGGTCATGGAGGTGTCAATGGTCATGGTCCCACCACCCATGAAGGATCCTGGGGGGCACAGAACGCGATCGTGGAGCCACCAGGTCATGGAGGTGTCAACAGTCATGGTCCCACCACACAATCTGGATTGGATCATGGAGCCACCAGGTCATGGGGGACATCCCACCACGTGTGCTGGAACTCTGAATGGGATCTTGGAGCCACCAGGTCATGGGGGATGTCCCACAACCCATCCTGGATCTCTGGGAGCTGGGAATGGGATCATGGAGCCACCAGGTCATCGCAGACGTCAAACACCAGCTCAGGTCCATCCTCATCCATGTTTGGGCCACCTCAGGACAGTCCTGGGGCCAGCAGCTCCTGGGGGACATCAATGCCACCCATGGTGGACATCTGGGAGCTGGGGTGGGATCATGGAGCCACCAGGTCATGGGGGTGTCAATGACCATGGTCCCACCACCCATGAAGGATCCCCAGGAGCAGGGAATGGGATCATGGAGCCACCAGGGCATGGAGAACATCCCACCACGTGTGCTGGAACTCTGAATGGGATCATGGAGCCACCAGGTCATGGGGGACATCAAACACCGGCCCACGTCCATCCTCATCCATGTTTGGGCCACCTCAGGACAGTCCTGGTGCCACCAGCTCCTGGGGGACATCAATGCCACCCATGGTGGACATCTGGGAGCTGGGGTGGGACCATGGAGCCACCAGGTCATGGGGGTGTCAATGGCCATGGTCCCACCACCCATGAAGGATCCTGGGGAGCACAGAACGCGATCATGGAGCCACCAGGTCATGGGGGACATCCCACCAGTGGTGCTGGAACTCTGAACGGGATCATGGAGGCACCAACCAGGTCATGGGGGTGTCAATGGCCATGGTCCCACCACCCAATCTGGATTGGATCATGGAGGCACCAGGTCATGGAGAACATCCCATCACTGGTGTTGGAACTCTGAATGGGATCATGGAGCCACCAGGTCATGGGAGATGTCCCAGCACCACTTTTGGACCTTCTGGAGCAGGGAATGGGATCATGGAGCCACCAGGTCACGGGGGACATCAAACACCAGCTCAGGTCCATCCTCATCCATGTTTGGGCCACCTCAGGACAGTCCTGGGGCCACCAGCGCCAGGGGGACATCAATGCCACCCATGGTGGACATCTGGGAGCTGGGCTGGGATCATGGAGCCACCAGGTCATGGGGGTGTCAATGGCCATGGTCCCACCACCCATGAAGGATCCTGGGGAGCAGGGAATGGGATCATGGAGCCACCAGGTCATGGAGAACATCCCACCACGTGTGCTGGAACTCTGAATGGGATCATGGAGCCACCAGGTCATGGAGAACATCCCACCAGATGTGCTCCAACTCTGAATGGGATCTTGGAGCCACCAGGTCATGGGGGACATCAAACACCGGCCCACGTCCATCCTCATCCATGTTTGACCAACAGGGGCCACCACACTGCTCCCAGCTCCAGGAGCACAGAGCCAAGGTCTGGAGCCACCAGGGTCATGGGGCCCATCAGGCACGGTCCCACCACGGCTGTTGGATCTTGGGGAGCTGGGAATGGGATCATGGAGCCACCAGGTCATGGAGAACATCCCACCACTGGTGTGGGAACTCTGAATGGGATCATGGAGCCACCAGGTTATGAGGGTGTCAACAGTCATGGTCCCACCACCCAATCTGGATTGGATCATGGAGGCACCAGGTCATGGGGGATGTCCCACAACCCATCCTGGATCTCCAGGAGCAGGGAACGGCATCATGGAGCCACCAGGTCATGGAGAACATCCCATCACTGGTGTTGGAACTCTGAACGGGATCATGGAGCCACCAGGTCATGGGGGATGTCCCAGCACCACTTTTGGACCTTCTGGAACAGGGAATGGGATCATGGAGCCCCCAGGTCACGGCAGACATCAAACACCAGCTCAGGTCCATCCTCATCCATGTTTGCCCAACGCTCCCGGCACCGCCGCGCCGCTCCCGCCTCCACCACCGTTCCTCACCACCATCTGCACCCATCACCCTCATGGGGACCATCAGGCACGGTCCCACCATGGCTGTTGGATCTCCAGGAGCAGGGAACGGGATAATGGAGCCACCAGGTCATGGAAGTGTCAATGGTCATGGTCCCACCACCCATGAAGGATCTTGGGGGCACAGAACACGACCATGGAGCCACCAGGTCAAGGGGGACATCCCACCACTGGTGCTGGAACTCTGAATGGGATCATGGAGCCACCAGGTCATGGAGAACATCCCACCACTGGTGTTGGAACTCTGAATGGGATCATGGAGCCACCAGGGCATGGGGGACATCAAACACCGGCTCAGGTCCATCCTCATCCATGTTTGGGCCACCTCAGGACAGTCCTGGGGCCAGCAGCTCCTGGGGGACATCAATGCCACCCATGGTGGACATCTGGGAGCTGGGGTGGGATCATGGAGGAACCAGGTCATGGAGATGTCAATGACCATGGTCCCACCATCCCTGTTGGACCTTCTGGAGCAGGGAATGGAATCATGGAGCCACCGGGTCATGGAGGACATCCCACCACTGGTGTTGGAACTCTGAATGGGATCATGGAGCCACCAGGTCATGGGGGACATCAAACACCGGCTCAGGTCCATCCTCATCCATGTTTGAGCCACCTCAGGACAGTCCTGGGGCCAGCAGCTCCTGGGGGACATCAATGCCACCCATGGTGGACATCTGGGAGCTGGGGTGGGATCATGGAGCCACCAGGGCATGGGGGTGTCAATGGCCATGGTCCCACCACCCATGAAGGATCTTGGGGAGCAGGGAACGGGATCATGGAGCCACCAGGTCATGGAGAACATCCCACCACTGGTGTTGGAACTCTGAATGGGATCATGGAGCCACCAGGTCATTGGGGATGTCCTGGCACCACTTTTGGACCTTCTGGAGCACAGAACGGGATCATGGAGCCCCCAGCTCACGGCAGACATCAAACACCAGCTCAGGTCCATCCTCATCCATGTTTGAGCCACCTCAGGACAGTCCTGGGGCCAGCAGCTCCTGGGGGACATCAATGCCACCCATCCTGGATCTCCAGGAGCCAGGAACAGCATCATGGAGCCACCAGGTCATGGAGGTGTCAATGGCCATGGTCCCACCACCCATGAAGGATCTTGGGGAGCAGGGAACGCGATCATGGAGCCACCAGGTCATGGGGATGTCCCACCACTGGTGCTGGAACTCTGAATGGGATCATGGAGCCACCAGGTCATGGGGGTGTCAATGGCCATGGTCCCACCACCCATGAAGGATCCTGGGGAGCACAGAACAGCATCATGGAGCCACCAGGTCATGAGAACATCCCACCACTGGTGTTGGAACTCTGAATGAGATCATGGAGCCACCAGCTCACGGCAGACATCAAACACCACCTCCGGTCCATCCTCATCCATGTTTGCCCAACTCTCCCGGCACCACCGCGCCGCTCCCACCTCCACCACCACCACCACCCCTGTGCCACCCCATCCTCCCTCACTTGTCCCCGGCGGCCGCCCGGGCGTGGATCCGCGCGTGCCGGGCCAGCGAGGACTTGTTGCTGAAGCTCTTCCCGCAGGCGCCGCACGGGAAGGGCCTCTCGCCCGTGTGCGAGCGCTCGTGCACCGTCCGGTCCGCCAGGTACTTGAAGCTCTTGCCGCAGGCCGGGCAGGGGTAGGGCCGCTCCTGCGCGTGGCTGCGGCGGTGCATGCTCAGGTTGGAGCGCTGGCTGAAGCTCTTGCCGCAGGTGCCGCACGGGTAGGGCCGCTCGCCGGTGTGCGAGCGCCGGTGCTTGCGCAGGTCCGAGGGGTTGGTGAAGGCCTGCCGCAGAGGCCGCAGCCGTAGGGCCGCTCGCCCGTGTGCAGCCGCCGGTGCGTGGTCAGCGTGCTCGGGTGGCCGAAGCGCTTGCCGCAGTGGCCGCAGCCGTAGGGCGGGCCCCCGTGTGCGTCCGCTCGTGGCTGCGCAGGTGGGTGGGGCGCGCGAAGGTTTTGCCGCATTGGGCGCACGGGTACGGCCGAGGTGCCGGTGGTGCCGGTGGGGTCGCCGTGGGTTTGGGGGCGTCTCCAGGGGTTCGGTGCCTCTGGAGGGCCTGGGGTTGGGGAAGGGGCGGCGCCGGGGTCGTGGTGGGATCTGAGAGGGGAAGAGAAGATCCATGGGTGGTTCCTGAGGGGGAATGTGGAGCTCCGGGCCCTCCATGGTGTGAGGGTCCAGGTCCCAGCAATCCACCCAAATCCACCCCCACAGATCCACCCATGGGGGGCAATCGGGAGAAGGGGAGGTTGGAACTAAAATCAGGGGGGGTCAGAGCCAAGGAGATGGTTTGGAGGAAATTGAGATGGTTTGGAGCTCATTGAGATGTTTGGAGCAAATTGAGATTGTTTGGAGCAAATTGAGATGGTTTGGGGCCCATGGAGATGGTTTGGAGCTCAAGAAGATGGTTTGGAGCTCATGGAGATGGTTTGGGACCCATGGAGATGTTTGGAGAAGAAGGAGATGGTTTGGACCAAATTGAGATGGTTTGGGGCCCATGGAGATGGTTTGGACCAAATTGAGATGGTTTGGAGCCCATGGAGATGGTTTGGGACTCATGGAGATGGTTTGGAGCCCATGGAGATGGTTTGGAGCTCCTGGAGATGGTTTGGAGCTCATGGAGATGGTTTGGAGGCTCACTGAGATGGTTTGGAGCTCCTGGAGATGGTTTGGAGCTCATGGAGATGGTTTGGAGCCCATGGAGATGGTTTGGAGCCCATGGAGATGGTTTTGGAGCCCATGGAGATGGTTTGGAGCTCACTGAGATGGTTTGGAGCTCATGGAGATGGTTTGGAGCTCATGGAGATGGTTTGGAGCTCCTGGAGATGGTTTGGAGCCCATGGAGATGGTTTGGAGCCCATGAGATGGTTTGGAGCTCATGGAGATGGTTTGGAGCCCATGGAGATGGTTTGGAGCTCCTGGAGATGGTTTGGAGCTCATGGAGATGGTTTGGAGGCCCATGGAGATGGTTTGGAGCCCATGGAGATGGTTTGGAGCCCATGGAGATGGTTTG